AACAAGGAATAATGGCCACAAGTTGTTGGAGAGGAGGTATAGATTGGACATCCGTAAGAACGACTTCACGGTCAGGGCGGCTAGGATCTGGAACCAACTTCCAAGGGAAGTGGTGCTGGCTCCTACCCTGGGGGGCTTTAAGAGGAGGCTGGATGCCTACCTGGATGGAGTCATCTGAGCCCAGTTTTCTCCTGCTCAGGCAGGGGGTCGGACTTGCAGATCTACAAGGTCCCTCCGACCCCACTTCTGTGATTCTACGATACGAGCCTACGGCTTTCGTGTGGGCCCGGCTCCCCGGGAGCCTGCGAGGGGGAGCGCCGGGCTCGGGGCAGGGCGGCAGCATCTCGCTGCAGAGAGCTGGTCCACGGGGACGTTGTGAGGATCCCCCCCACCTCCCTCTTCCAGGCCTGGCCTTTGCGGACAGCCATGAGGGTGGCTGGGGGGGCTCCTGCGGTTCAGATCAGCCCCCGCAGAGCTGGGGAAAGGAAGGAGATGAACAGCCGGGAGTGGAGAACGGCCCCCGGTCTGCCCAGGCCTGAGCCAGCCCAGGGGACCAGCCTGCCCACTCCTGGCAGCTCCTCCTGCCCCGGGAAAGAAGGAGCAAACGCTGCCCACGTGCCCATGGCCAGGCCCCGAGGCTGCCGTTAGCGTCATCCAGACGTGCCTCTCCCGGGGTCGCTGCTCCCTCATTCAGCAGCTGGCTGTCAGCCTCGTCCCTGCGGCCAGGGCAGTGCCAGCCACGAGTGACCTTTGTGACGGCCGTGGGTGGAGACGCAGACACTGCTGCACCTACAAGTGACAAGCCACCCCCCCACAGTCCTGGCATGGGGCTGGGCAAGCAGGCAGGGGCCGAGAGCACCGGCACTGCCCCGGGGATCGGCTGCAGGAAGGCTTTTGGCTGAATCCAGTGGATCCACTTCCTTAAGCATCCAGCTCGCTGCCCACCGGGCATGTCCAGCCAGTCCGCCCTACCACCGGGCGCAGAGAGCCTGCCCCTGCCCCATCCGAGGGACAGCAACCAGGAGCCCGACATGTCTTGGGCCACGTCACAGCCACGCTGCACCCGGGGGTTACTTGCGTGCGATTTTTATTCCACCTCCAGGTCCTGCTCCCTCTGGAAAGGGAACGGGACCATCTCCGGTGTCGGCCCCGGCCCCGGGCCCGGGCTGCGCTGGGACAGGTGCAGCTTGCAGGTTGTCTGTGCCCTGGGTGCTGAGCCGGGTGCAGCTGCCAAGTGAGCCGTAGCCAGCCCTGCATCCCCTGCAGGGAGTGGGGGCACCGGGTGGCTTGGTCCCGGGACGTGAGCTGACCAGGGGTTGAGAGGCTCCCTTGGGGAGCTGGGGGCGCTGCTCTGGTCAACCTGCTTTTGCCCCGGTGCAAGACCAGCCCCTGAGGTGTTGTGCCACCCGGCCCCTCCAGACTAGCCCTCGCTCCCAGCTCCCACCCAACATAGCATCGCCGATTCGTTGCCCTCGAAGCACGCAGCACGTCGGCCCCCAGTAGGGACCAAAACAGCCACCTCCCTGCTGGGCCCCCCTCGGGTCCCGGGGGAGGCACACCTGGGCCAGGGGTTAGCGAGGAACTAGTTAGGGAACTTCTGGAGGGACTGGACGTATTCAAGTCAGCCGGTCCGGACGATCTCCACCCCCGAGTACTAAAGGAACTGGCCGAGGTCATTGCGGGACCCCTGGCACGGCTTTACGAGCACTCGTGGTGCTCTGGTGTGGTGCAAGAGGACTGGAAGAGGGCTAACGTGGTTCCCATCTTCAAAAAAGGGAGGAAGGAGGACCCGGGAAACTACAGGCCAGTTAGTCTTACCTTGATCCTAGGCAAGCTGTTCGAGAAAATTATTC